CATTCCTCTGAAGGTACCTGCTTGTCTCTTATTCTGCACAAAACAGCTCTTTGTCTATGTAATATTATTGTATTCATTATAATATATTATATATAAATGTACCTGTCAACTGGTTACTTACATAATCACATGAATGTAGGGACTTACAGCACAAGCATGCTCCCAGCCTTTTGTAAGACTGTTGCATATTATTATATAAAATGTATTTTTCATCCATTATGTTTACAAATCTCAAGAAGTCACATCGAAGAGAAACCACACCATGTCAGATGTTTAAACAAGGAAGGTTTATTCCTCAAAATGTATTAATCAAATAGACATAAAAATAAATAAATAAAATAAAACCACCCAAAAAAAACTACATGTTCAATGCACCACAGTGGTAGCCTGGTGTCACACAGAATTATCACTGATATTAAACAGAGGCTGCCAACTCAGCTCTCTCCTGTGGCCAATCACAACAAAGCACTTTATTTTAAAGTTGTAGATTTAAGCTGTGCTTCATATTTTTGGCCACCAGATGTCACTAAAGAGGACTGGGTTGAAAAGCTTTGAGTAATTAACCTGTTTTCAACCCAAGCTTCATTTGCCCATCACTACTTCATTTATAAAGCACTTGAAAAATAAAAATATCACAATAACACCAAATATGGCTGTAGCTCAAGAGGTAGAATAATCAGAAGGCTGGTGGTTCGCTCTCTGGCTGCCCCAGTCTGTGTGCCAAGTATTCATGGACGAGACACTAATGCCAGGTTGCTCTCCGATGAATGTGTGTGAGGATGCTTATAAAGCAATTAAAGCATAGTGTGTGGCATGTTGTATGAAGTGCTTTGAGTGCTCTGGGAGAGTTAAAAAGTGCTATAGAGTCAGTCCATTTACCAAAAGACAAACAGACCAGAAGGGAAAAGATATAGAAGCACAAACGAGTTGTAGTTAAAAGTAAAACAATAAACGTCTCTTATGCTCCCGCTCCTGCAAAAATAAAACAAAGCATCCACCCTTCTCTTACAGGCTGGGTGAATTGTTTGTCGACATTTACTAATCCTAAGGTTGGTGCAGTCTTTGTCTCAGTATCAAGTCAGTCAAAACTTTTAGTCCACATCGTCAGTCCATCACAGTCCAGTCACACACATTCATTCACACACATCCATACCAGATATTGCTGACAGTGGAGTCTCACGCGCAACTTACTTACTTTGAATCACCTTGTTGTTGAATTGTGCTATATAAATAAACTTGCCTTGCCTTATTCGAGTATCCATCATCAGCAAGATGACGTCATCAACAATTCTTTATGATTTTGGACTGGATTGACTCGGTGCAATCCTTTTAGTCTCAGGACTTACCATCTCATGTGGTCAGTGTCCAATATAAGTGAATTTCTCCAAAGCCCATTATAATCCTGGAGAAGCACACTTTACGATTGTTCCCAGTAAGAATATTTCATAGCACTTTCAATTTCAATTTTTCAGGCCTGAGTATACGAGAGCTGATTGTTAAATCATGAACTCACAAAGTATCACCACCGGTGGATCACACCCAGGGCTGCACTGGGACAAAAAATCGTCCCGACTAGAGACCGACCCACCAGGTATTATAGGAAAAACCATAAAGCCTTTGAATGAAAACAAACGCTGTTGTCACAGTGATGGACGCTGTCTTGTTGGTATATATGCATCAGTCTGTACATCATGTAAGCATACTTCTTGCTTAGGTTATCTGCCTTAGATACTGAAATTGTATTTTAATTTACATCCGAGTCATAAAGAGAGAATATTTACAACTATAGAAGCAATTAAAACAATCACATAATCCGAAATAAGAAAACAAACAAAACCAACAAACCTACAAACAAAACAAAAACGGATGTGTTGGTAGGGGGTGATCCTATAAATATATACTCTCATACATCACAGTTATTGGTTTGTAAAAATAAATCTGGCCTATGAGGCGTGATATATTTGACCCAGTTTTCCCAGTATGATGTAAATTTCTCCAGCTTGTGGTTAACAGAAGCTGTTATCTTTTCCATGTTATAGATTTCCATTGTGATTTCCATCCATGTACTTATGGTTGGGCTCTCCGGGGATAACCATTTTCTGGTGATACTCTTTTTACAGGCCACCAGTGGAATATTTACTAAATGTTTATCATATTTAGGCCATTCCTGAGGTATATATCCAAAGAACATAGTCTTACTCTCGAGGGGTATTTCACATTTAAAGATATCCTGTAAGGCATTATGTATTTCTCTCCAATAATCCCTCAAAATAGAGCAGTCCCAGAAAATGTGGTAGTGATTTGCACTTTGATTTCCACAGTTGCTCCAACAAGCAGGGGAATTATCATCATAATGAGACTTCTGAGAAGGTGTTGTAAAGTATCTAATTAGGCACTTCCAGCCAAATTCCCTCCACTTTTGTGAGCTGGTACACATCCACTGATACCTCCATATTGCCGTCCATTCTTCCTCTAATATTTTTATCCCTCCTTCCTTCTCCCATTTTGTTCTAATATATGAAGTCGAATGTGGTTTCAAATCCATTAGACCCTTATACAGACATGATACAATTCTATCAATAGTTTCTGAGTTATAGCTTTTTATAAACACTTCCATCAAGCGTGTGTTTGTCATTGTTACATTTCTCATCTTCGTGTCAGCATAGTGCCTTAACCAGAGCAGTTTCATGTCGGTTACACTTTGACATACATTTTTAAAAAATGTCTTTTCCTGTCGTTGTGCATCTATTTAATGTTCAATATTTCCTCTCCACGGATGAAGATGGTCAGCTGTGCAGTGTCCATCATGTCTGTACTTTCATTCACAGCCGAGTATGCAGTGAAGTTTTTGCTTCTTTCACACAACTGTGTTTGTTAAATCAGTGGTAGTGATGTGCGATACCACTGAATTTCCGATACTTTGTACAAAAACTTATTTTATTTATTGGATCTCAAATTATAGCGTCATAATGATTACAGGACATCAGTCAACCATGTCCATGTCACTGAAATCTCCAGCTTTAGGTTCAGTGTAGCTCATTAGGCTTGCTTCATGGCCTTTTCTCTGAGACCTCCACACCACAACCCACAAACACCAGGGCCCTATTTCAGGAAGCCGGTTTAGAAAACTCAGAGTGAAAAACGATACTCAGGGTTGAGTAACCCCGAACTGTCCAACTCGGAATATTCGGTTTCAGAAAGGCTGATAACAAGTAGTTCAGTCAACGCGGAGTTGCTTTAACCCCAAGTTAAGCGCGCGCACGAGGATACATAAAGCCCTGATTAGTGGAGCACAGATTAAGCGAGTCACCATGGAGACGGAGGGAAAGAAGGCGCGGTCAATGTATTTTACAGCGCTTGAGGCCGAAATTCTGATGGCAGCATATGCCGATAACATGCAAATTTTGCAGAAAAAAAGTAACACAGCCTCAGCTGCAAAAGAAAGGGAGCATGCATGGCAAAACATAGCCGACAGAGTCAATGCGTGAGTGTTAATTTAAACATTGATCTAGGGATTTCCACCCATTTAACACGTTATTTTATTATATTTTATTTTTTATTTTATACATTTTATTTTGTGATGTGATGTGAGCGCAGGTGCAACCCAACAGGCCCCAAACGTGCCTGGCAGCAAGTAAAAATGAAATATAAAAATATAGTCCAAACAGGTAAGGTGTAATTGTATCATGAGCCATAGTGCTTGGTCTGTTTGTCCGATGTAAATCAATTGCAGTTAGAGGCTACATTAATTTTCTTTCTGTAAGCACTTATTGAAATTATCTGAGCACATTACAAGTACATATTTGCTTACTCTGTATGCTCAAATGTGACCCGTTATAGCCAACAGAAAAAAAGCGGAGGCCCGAAAAACAGGTGGGGGTCCTCCACCACCACCACTCACAGAGGCTGAGCAGTTGGCTTCCACATTTGTGATAATGTTGGCAGCATCATATATGATCTTCACAGTGCAGAGAACACAAATTAGCATCCATTACTATAATGAAATAATTTGTTAGTTTGAAATGCTACAGGGAACTATGTACCTGTACATTAATGCTGTGGAAAGACTTCCTGTTCACATAGTCTCCTTCATTTACTGAAGGAGCAATGATTGGAATGTGAGTGCCATCTGTACAGCCAATCACGCCTGGGAACCCTGAAAATAAATGTAAAATTTAAGTAGTAGTTCAAGTATCACCACATCATGAATTAAGTTTTGTTCATCCTGATACCTGCAATTTTGTGGCATCCCTCTTTGATAAATCTTGTGGGTCTATGACCGGGGAACACCACAAACGAGTACAGGAGACGTTTCAGTGCAACTGTAACATTCCTGACTGCCCGACAGACGGTAGCCTTGGAAACGTGCTCAGCGTCACCAATATTATACAGAAAGCTCCCGTTTGCAAAAAACCGAAGTGCAATACAAATAATATGTAATGAACTGAGAGCATGTCCGCGATGTGTCACATGAGCAATATTAGGCCTGAGGATGTTATTCAAATAACTTATAGATTGTGCTGAGAAACGGTAACGTTCGCACAGGAAATCATCAGGAAATGATAAAATGTCCAAACGCGATCTGATCACTCTCTCCCGGTGGAGAGCTCTGCGGGGAATTTGGGCTTCACGATCTACTGGCTCTTCAAGGAAGGAGCACGCCATGTCTGACACTTCCTACTGTCAGGTTTCCGACACAGAGGCGGAGAAGGTCAGGGTTAGTTGAAGTAAACCTGCTAGGGGGCAGGTTAGCTTCACGGAGTGTGTCGTCATAGTAACTCACTCAGAATTAATCTAAACTCGCTTTGTGAAACCGAAAACCCAGAGTTTTCGTTAACTCAGGGTATACTTACTCAGAGTTTGCACTAAACCGGCTTCCTGAAATAGAGCCCAGGTCCTGCCAGTTCACAGGAGGGGACTGAATTCATTCTGGACAGGTAGTTTAAACTCTCTGGCCAATAAAAATGGTTTAATTAAATACGCAGTGTTTACAAACAAAACACAGAAAAGGTGATTTATTAAAACACAACATATGAACTTTCCTAGATTTCTGGTTTATGACCATTAGCCAATAAAGGAATATTGGCAGGTTTTAAAGCTTGTCTCAATGTCCCAACTGAGAAAAAAAAACATTTAAACTTTCTGTTGCTAGATGAGGTTCAAATTACCTAGAGTCAGGTAGCTGTAAGCAAGCAAGCAGTTAAATTTAAGCGCAAGTCAATAGATTTCATAGACACACAGGGTCTTGTATGACCTGTTGGACAAACTCTTCTACATCCAATCATCTTTTACGAGGTCTGATTCGTTTCTTTTTTCAGCATCACACAAGTTACAAAGAGCAGAAATGGGTAACAACAGTTTTTGAAAATTTGCGACTCAAATATGAGCCAGAGTCCTTCAGGAAGTCCAGCGCCACCAGGCCACCTTCATACGGTCCCACACAGCTTCTAAAGAGTCAAAAGCAGGTCGCACGTCCAGGGTGGAGAACTGGTAGGTGTCCTTGTTGATTTCTCCATCATAATAGTCAATGATGTAGCGCACCTCCTTCCCACAGCGGTCAACGATCCAGTCGTGACGGTCAAATGGCAGCTCGTAGCTGCAGAGAGACAAACTCAATTAGTCACCAGGATCTTCCCCAACATGAGGTTTACATGCATCATGTTTTAATGGACCGCTGCATGGGTTGCTTTGCGCGGCATGTCCGCATTTCCCTGATTTCATTATAGCGGACCAGCAGCTGGCAATGCAGATCCAAACGAGAAACATAACACAGCCAAAATTATTAAATGTGCATCAGGATGTTTCATTCTCACCCCATCCAGTGTCGGAGGCGGGCCCTGGGGGAGTACTCTTTAGCCTTCCCACCGAATCTCCTCAGAGTTGGTCCACATGGACATTCACTATACGAGGTAAATGTTCATCAGTTAAGGCTCAATTCTCTGACCAACAGGCAGCTCGCTGCAAACGATCGTACGGACTCACCGAGCATGCAGAGCCTCCCACTTCAGGATCTCTTGCCAGGCCTGCTCATTGTTCTGATTGTGGATTTTAATGATGTTGGTCATGTCACCTTTGCTGAGGTCATCATCTCGCCAGCGCCACCTGCAGCACAGGATCGAACAAAGGAAACAGTGTCTTTAGCAGATATTTCTCCATCACTGTGCTACTGCAATAATTAAAGCTACCGATATGTGAAATCCAAGCATTTTTAAAAACACTGACTTTGAGGTTCAATGAGACACTAAATAGAAGTTCATAGTTCCCAATATCGTAGCCTGAAGTAGTCTTAACACCAGCCAACTGACCCCTTCCTCAGCATGGCGTTCCAGAACATCTGCTCCGACGGGTACACCCAGTTCTTCTCTGTGTCGTGACGTGGGATAGTGGACTCCTCTCTTCTGACAGAGAGTTCAAAGGGCTGGTCTGGAGCTGGCGTTTGGTTGGGAGGAGGCATCTGCACGTGTGGAAAAAGATAAATTATAGTCTGAGACATGACCTTAAAACATAGAAAAGATGTCAGGCATGACAGCCATAAGTCCTCCAGGAGAGAACATGGTCAGTGCAGCATACATGTGTTTCATACCTGTGGTCAAGTGTTGAAACAACTGAAAAGCTCGCCTAACAAAGCTGCTTCTCTTTTGTTGTGCTTGGTGTTGTTGGGAAGTAACACTAACATGTTGTTGTCAGCTGGCTGAATACACGAGCACACAAACTAGAGCCACCGCAGACAACAACAGTGCGTAGCAGCAAACGAGGGCAGTGTATCAGAACTAAAACGAATTAAGGATCAGGCAACCGTAGCTTAAAACATAAAAGTTATTTCTAAAATAAAGCCTCTTTGCTCCAAGCTGCACAGGTACCATATTTGCTGGATCGATGTCGCCCTTCGTGACTGCTGCAGCTCTCATGGGACACTCCACAAAGTTGTACGCCTGATCCTGGTGGGCCGGACCTGCAGGAGAACACGTGCGAGCCACAGGTTTGATCATTTCATTAAAACAACCATCTGAACATAGAAATGTGTTGCAAAAGTCCCTACCTTTTTCAGCCTGAGCTTGATGCATGGGACATTGTGAAGGCGGAGATGCTAAGAAAAACACAAATACACAACCACAGTCAAGATATAATTCAACATCATTCAGTAAAACTTGTACAGTTTATGATAACAGTGAAGAATGAGAGCTAATGACCTATGTAATACCATGAAATGCAGTTTTCTGTGGGAGTAAAACACTATCTGTGTGCACAGGACCTTCTCTCTGACACAAGCCGTTTCTTTTCTTAATTGCTCGAGTTAGGGGTGTCACAATATACTAACATTTATGATAAACCTGTTATCTTCCTCATACAATGGAAGAAATTCACTTTCCACGAACCCCCCACTGAGGTAGGTTGTAAATACCTGAGCTCTGGAGTCTGTGCAGGAAAGATCGCTCCATTTATTCACTGTTTCGTTGCAACTTCTCTGCTTTCTAAGCATTCAGCCTGATGCTAGCTGCTCTGCCACAGCTTGGCTTACAGCGGCTTGTCGATATGGATTTCACTGTATTCAGACAGTTTTTTGAGTATTTGTTTTTACATACTAACAGCCACTGTGATGCCTCTTTAGAGTGATTATCAGATTTTCCATTCCTGGCTTGTCGACATTCGTCAGAGTATTTTATAAATGTGCAGTTAGTAGCAATAAAAACTATCTGTTTCACAAATCGCATGCCATCTTCACCTTGCACTTACAAAGGAGAATTTGGAAGAAGAAATTCGGCCCAGCATTTCACGCTATGACATCCTGACTGTAATGAAACTACAGTACCTTTGACAGGCTGAGCTTCCTCCTGCACTGGGCAGCGCTGAGCAGAGACGGTCTTCATAGCCTCAGCTTTGACTACAGAGGGCTCTGCTGTGGACCAGGAGGATCCCATGTTAGCCTGTCTGACAGGGGAACAAATACACCCAGGACATTAGGATTTAAACACGTGTACAAGAAAAAGGCAAAGATCATCTGTGGACACTCAGCCGTAACACAGCTGGGCTAATGCTGTGATCAGTGGGCTGTGTAGGTCGTGTGTTTATTTAATACTGTCGTTATATCGCTAACTCTGACTGATGTCACCCTCGGTAACCTCAGGTTTAGCTGTAGTGCAACTAACCGGGTCAAAACTAGCCTCCGCCCGGTTATCCTAATATCACTAGCATCATGGTACAGCCCACTTCCACGCCGCTCTCGTGTTCGAGTTATTCGGCTTTGCAAATAAGACTTAACAACAACACACAGTAAAACACAGCAGGTATGGTTGTGGCCCTAACGTTACCCAGCAGCCACTGCTAGCGGATGTGTGGACTTAATTCAAACAGCGTATTACGAACATATTCAGCTTTAGTTTCGTCACATAACGAACAGCAGGTTAAATCACTGACCTGTGACAGACGACAGCAGCGCGGCGGTCTCTCGGAGCGTTTCAATGTCAACGTGCAGGACAGTTGCACAAGCAGCTGTGCTCAGCGCGTGCTGTACGTATGCCCACAGCGTCACGACGCTTTGATAGGATGTTGAAAGACGTGACCCGGAAGTTACTGCGGGATTTTTTTTCTCGTTGAACGCACTTCAAACATTACAGAATTCAGTGTCGGGGGGTTAAAAACGCAGGCTGGGTTTGAATCAGCAGAAGAATTGCTTTTATATTATGGGACTGTTGTATGGTTTTAAAATATTGTCTGGTTTCATTCATAAAGCATTGAAAAGACGGTTTTGCGTTAGAAAATTTGGATTCATAACTTTGAAATTTAACCAGTAAAATGAGTAAATTAATGAAATAAAATTCGTTTTGCCTATTGATAGGGTAATCAGAAAAGCCAGATAATATTTTTTCATAACACAGAGAGAAGTCAGAATAGATAAAAGAAACAACAAAAGTGCAAAAATCGTGTTAGAAAAGAGAAGTGCATAAGCAGCACAAAGATAAGTGTGAACTATCTTCTTTCTGACGGCTACAAAATGAACAGCGGACATCAGTCTTTTTTATATTATACAAGAAAAGTTCGGGTGGGGTAAAAATGATGAATGATTTTAAAAGATGTTTGCTTTACGGCCACTGGGACACCAGTTATGTCTTTCTGAAAAAGAGTTCATATGTCACTGTTGTTTTTCCTGTTTTTCACCATATACACTCAAAAATTCAGAGTAAGAAATGAAACCTAAATTTGGATTAAGACGTTGCAAAACAAGACGAATCCCATGAATAAACCAGTCGCCTAAAAATAAAGACTTGTGTTTGTATAAAATGTCTCTGTTGTTCCAAATATCATATCTGTGTGGAGAAAAGTTGTGTTTATAAAGCAGCAACTGTTTCTGTTTCTGTTTATTAAATTAGGACAGTTTTAAGGAGATTTTATAAATGTTGTAGTTACAAAGTAAAACAAGGTCAACACCACCATTGTTTTCACCAACTTGATGTTGTGTTCCTGAGAAATTGTTTGATCCAGTTTATTTTAAACACACTGTTTATAGTAGAAAAGTCAAGTTTACGGAACCATGTTGGTTTGAGTTTGATACAACTGATCTCTTAGTATAATCTATTCTATTCTTCCATATAAAGTTATAAAGGAGTCTGTCAATATCCACCAGGGTTTCTTTATTTACATCAAGAGACAAAGCTCCATCGAGATAATCCCTCCGCTCTGGTGATAAAACTCTGGAGACAAGTATTTAGTTTATCTTGTGTTTTATGCAAAATTGGAATAAAATTAAGTGAACATCTAGAGGACTGGTTTTTATTAATGATGATGCCAAGGTAAGTGATGGAAAGAAAACAGGATTTGTTTTCGTTCTTAGCAAGCTAGAGCCATTCAGGCATCACTACAATGCAGCATAATAAACGTTTTCTGCACTTAAAAACACATTCATGGACTGAGCCTGATCAGTGCTCTGTATATGGCTTATTCAGTGAGTTGCACTACGATGGCAGTAAAGATTACAAGTTTACAGTTTTACTACTGTTTAATTTCAGTGCCTCCATCTTGGATCGCTAACTCAGAGGATCCGGTCGTTAAGTGATGACGTGACGAATCCTACTTCCAGGTCTAAAGTAGTCTGCATTTAATATGGCTTTTGTGTTGTTAACATGTTTAATGTTTTGTATTTTCTTCTATTTAATCTCAAAAAGCTCCTAAAACAGTCAGTGATCCCTGTTGACCTCCCTCGGCTTTTATTACCGCTAATCATTTATTTAAGCTCAGTTTTTAAAACCTTAGGATGTAACTACAGCCCAGCCCATGCAGCAGTATATGAATGACTAACCTCGTATTGTGGATGGATTATCTCAGTTGTTCTCCTGGCTGAAGTTTGGTCCTTTTACAGCATCCTGCCATGCGATTACATTTGTTCCTGACCACCGAGAACACTCACGTTAACTTTTATCCAGTGGAAAAAAAGTTAGCTTGTTTATATTATGCTAACATAGCTGTGTCGCTAGCGGTCACGTAGCACATCATTATATACCAGCTAGCCCAACTTCAGTAACCCTACAAACGTCACTGCTGTTTAGTTTTCTGTCTTCATTTATGCTGGAAGTGATAGCAGAGCTGTACGTTTGAATTTGTTTCCAAAACCCCGCAGTCAGGACATGCTATATTGTATTTAGATAGAAGCTAGCGAGCTAACTTCCTGCTAACTTCTAACTCCGTTAAATGTCATAAATTCCGTTTTCATGGATGCCTGGATGTTAAACTCAATTGTTACACCTGGTAGAGCAGAACGCTGATCATTTTATTAAAGATGAAAGACTTTAGACAGTTTTTCAACTCTCAGTAATGCCACAGTGATCGTTTGATATATGGACCTGCAGCGGAGTTTAGGTCCAGACACGGCTAGTGACGTCAGACTGAACAACCGGATATTGGTCTGCACTGACTTTCCATTACAAACCTAGAGGTGCTGACTATTATATTAATCTTTTTTTTAAATCTAGAGAAAACCTATGTGTCATTATAAGCTGCCTTCTAACATTCAGAGATTTAAATGATCTGATTCACAGTGTATAGTAAGCTTCATACACTTAAGCATAAATAGTCGTGTCTGAAATCATCTTTTAATACAAACATTATGTACAACATTATTATTGAACAAACATTGTTCAACAAAAAAAACAGGTCACATGTTAGAATGATTTTATTTTTGTAGTAGGCCCCTAAGACAATATACAGTTGGTGTTTAGAATAGAGTTGAATAAATGTTAAAAACATGATCTGATAATTTCTGAAACAGTCTTCAGGAGGATAACCACGTAGAGCATCAACAGAGGCCCAGAGGTTTCTGCTCCCAGTAAACATGCTCACGCTTTCCTCCTGGATTAAAATATTTCTAATGTTAAGCTTTTAAAATCAACATTAGGGAGTAAAGGCTGCCCGTGAGTCCCTGCAGTGGCTCTGGTCTAGGCCTGCTCCTGTTGCCTAGCAACCACAACACTATAGCGTTACATGATGTTTTGTTGGGTGGAAATCTTGACTTTATTTTCTTCTTTTTCATTTTCTTTATTTTTACTTTTACTGAAGAAAACTGATATGTTTCATAGGTACATATCAGAAAATTAACAAGATGTTGTTATTTTTCATGATAAAAATGAAGGAATCTATCTGAGGCCAACAGACCACAGCCATGTAAAAATAAGATTTGTTAAGCTGTGCCCCTTTAGCCAAAACTAATGTGAATATTAGTTTATAATAAGCAAATAACATAGTTCAGGAAACTAGTGTCATTTCACTTTGAGAATATAAAACAACAGGGCCTACATTAACCATACTAATATATGAAATATACTAAAAATGACCAGCGGTGAATTTAATTCAGTTGATTGTGCTACACTCCAAATTCAAGGTACATTTATTTCAATGTTATATAACTTTCTATCTTCTTTACCAGGGCACATCTCAGAGACGTTGTTGTCAAAGATGAATATATATAAATATGTCATATGTTGAGACAGATATTGTTCATTTTATATATTGTCTCCAATAGATTTTGGGGAAAAAGTTTTGGTTACATGTATGGAAAAAATAACAAGTTGTGGTTATTTTGCATGATAAAAATGAAGAGTTGGGTGAGTAAATGCTGTATCACCGATGCTACAAATAGCTATAAACACAATATACTTTATACAGGGAGTGCAGAATTATTTGGCAAATGAGTATTTTGTCCACATCATCCTCTTCATGCATGTTGTCTTACTCCAAGCTGTATAGGCTCGAAAGCCTACTACCAATTAAGCATATT